ATTAAAAGCTTGTTTGTGAGAAAAAAACTCATGCACTAATAATAGCTAAATCAATCTATTATGGCTAAAGCAGAGAAAGAAATATAGCTAATTTCATGTATGTTTCCAAATTTAGTGATTGTAACAGACCTCTGTAATTGATTCTTTTGCCTGACTGTAGTGTATTCTATTATATCTTCATAGCTGAAGGAAAGCCCCCCCCCAATAATTTTGCTGATATATATTATTCTACAGAAAACAAAGTATACTATAGACAACATCATGTAGTAATAGTAATACTATAGAAATGATTGCTACTATATGTTCTGCCCCCTCAATTAAAACGCTCGATGACCCTTTTTTGTATGCTTGTCAAGGAATTTTTGGAGGTTGATAGTGCAATCAAGTAAAAAAAAATATAAAATATGCCCCCCACCCCAAGTGAAATGATTTCCTATGGGTGACCCTGATCTTCATATTCCAAGTAACTGCCAAGAACTACTAAAACATGGTGTCAATTTTGTTCTCTTTGTAACTGTCATACAATCTTACCTGCTGAGGACTGCAGAGACACATTTCTCTAGCCGTCTAAGGAACCACTTCTGGAATGAAGAGATACCGTCCACTGGGCATTTCCCATTTCACCATATCGTCCATGACTACATCGATCTGCTGAACAAGGAAAAATCATTGAAACATGCCCAACTGTCCTGTGTTCACAGTACTGATAAACTCAAGTTTTACACTGAAATTTGGAACAATAAAAACTATCAAACTTGCACTATCAAATGGAACAAAATGCATTTATTTCAAGACAACTCACCTTGGGTAAGAATTTAAAAATCCATGCCAATTTTAGAACAAGGCAAATGTTTCAACGGAAACATCCCACACTCAAAATTCAGCAGGGCGACGTGTGTACAAAGGAACAACAGAAAATTCCCACCAAAATGAACACGTGACTAAAGATCGAGAGATCAAAGTGCACCCAATGAAAAACAAGGCTCGTCAACCGATATATTCTATTTATAGCATCAACTGACCTAACAGTGAATAATGCTCTAGCTCGTTCACCACTCAGTCACTTTACTTTAAACTAAATCCAAACCACGACTGCAACAATACCCCCTACAAAAAAGTGAAATACTGTCACAAACGAGATTTCAAAAAATCGCATCGGGGTCCCCACAAATTTTACCCCTCTTGTATTTATTGTGAAAAAATAATAAACAGTTTATATTGATGTCATTATCCCGATTTATATTTTTATGTTACAGTGTATTTGATAGCTACAATTAATTTTCACTCTAACCCATTCCTTCCGGATACGCTACAACAAATATTCTTTTTATTTTCAACTACGCTTTTTATTCACATTTTGAAATTTTATTTTAGTTAAAATCATTTAAGTATGCACATATGATTCGAAATTTTTCCCATCCAGAGATGTTAGAAGTCCATAAATTATTTCTAAAGTATTGAATTTATTTATTCAGTTTATATCGGCATTTTCATAAACTACTCGTATCTTAATTATTTTGATTCTAACTTTTGAACTTCTGTTTCAATATGCCTGCTCTATCTTTTGCGCAGTATTGAACTGCTAGACTTGTTACCCTGGGGCCCGTTTCACAAAGCCTACTTAGGACTAAGTACCGTTGATAGGACTGTAATTTATTTAGATTTATTTATTTCGGAATAGCAGAAAATATTACCTCCGCCGTATAAGTTTTGTTAAAATTTATACTCTCCGCACGCACCCATCAAAATGATATTTTGCTAAATGAATTCTGGATCTGTGATAAATGAATGAAAACAGTGGGTTCATGCGGATGCACTGAAATATCAAAGAAATTGTAGGAAAATCACATGTTTTCGGGATTTTTCGAGAAACATCATCAGTTTAATTAGTATTTTTGACGTCACTAGTGCACTATACATTAAATTTTAAAATGTTTCAGTGATAAACATTTTCCAAACATTAAGAATATAAACAGTTTTCAAAATGTTGATAACTTTAAAATTTTGTGAATTTTGGGGCCATTTTAGGGCATTGGAACCTCTTCCTCTTTAGATTTTAAAAATGTATTCTGTTGGATTTTTATTACACGACTCCTCCCATGTCAGTCTCAATAGTCCCCATCCACGGACGACAGACATCAGATGAACGAGATTTACATGTATATACGAGTAATATTTAGGCTTTATTAGCTCCTGACCTTTCACTTGGCGATATTTACATTCCAGTTGAATTATCAAAAAATCAATTTACCTAACTTTCCAAGAGCTGCAGATCTGTAGCTCTCCGAAAAAATAATTTGACAGACCGGAGATACTGCCATTTTGGTTTGTAAGATAATTCGGCCCAACGCACTTCGTGTAGATGTCAACTACGAAAGTACTTGATAGAAGAGTACGGATTTTTTTTTTAAATCTAATTTTTTTGCAACTGGGGTAAGAATTTGGAAGAATTAATCCATACATAAGCGCAACTTTTTGTGCGCAATAAATATACAATTTTTTCAATGGGTGGCACTGTAGCTCTCCGGTCTATCAATATATTTTATTCGGAGCTACAGTTCTGCAGCTAAGAGTTATATAACAGAGAAAACATATAGAAATAGAAATACAACATAATTAACTTTACTGATGGAGTTTGATGTAATACCATGGGTACGCTTAAATTTGAATATTTACACCTTATTTTGAGAATTCAGACACATTTTGTAAACATTTTCAGTTGCCCTACTCCTGGTTCCAGAACCTGTGGATTGGACAACTTAATACTATAACATTTGATCTGACCCCTACCCTGCCTTTCCTTCTACAGCATATCTGACTCCTTCCCAGTTTAACCAGCTTCCCCGCTTCTTTATACCAACTGCCTTCACCATTCTTCTGTGTTCTTCCATTTCGCACACTTCTTTCTGGACCAGTTGCCTCTTCCCCGTGATGCTAGTAGACTGTATTCACTGACAAGATCATCGTGTCTTCAACAGAACATTACCAAATGATCACTTTAGAAAAAGACTGTTTACTTATATATATATTGTATATTCTTGTTTCATCAACTTTTTTCTGAACAATTTTTCTCATTTTAAAAATTGTTCGTATATAGATTGTCCTTTTGCGTATTGAATGAATTGGGAGATATTTACTGCACTATGCAGGATAAAATGATAAATTGCTATAGTAATGGTATCTGACGATGGAAAAGTTGAAGTAATCATAAATTCGTATTTAAAATCATATTAAACATGTACGATCAGATAACAAAATCATAAAATCATAATATGTACATAACTTTGACACTTTGTCATAATGGATTAAATGTTTCAGATCTATATTAAAATCGCGTATTCTAAGACTGAGGGGCAAAATGAAAACCATCTATCCTTCTGTATTCAATAATCCAGAGGTGAAAAAAGATTCAATAATCCAGACGCCAATGACCCGAACCATTATCCTGACGGACGTTTGTGGAGAGCAATTTATATTATTTAGATTTAGATTATTATATGCTAGATTTTTATAAACCAAGTTTGATTCAACAATCCGGACGCTTCATTTATCCAGAAACACGTGTTCGGATTAACAAGGGTCGTCTGGATTGTACAGATAGCTTAAGCACACGTTCCGTCATTTTTTAAATGTTTCATTATAATAACTATATATTTATTATTGGTTGATATTAAATGTGTCCCATTAATTAAATCACAACTATTCATTATTAGCCATTTTTTGAAAAAAAAACTTTCTTTCCATTTTTCAATTTACAAACACATTAGAAGTTGTAACACACAGGAGTTGCGCATTTAACCGTTTGATGGTCCTATAATTACAAAGCTGCCCTTTGGGAAATTTTAAATAAAACTTTAACAATAACCAGCCGTGCGAGAACCCGCAAAAAATAAAAAGTTAACTTGCGAAAACTTCATAAATATTCAATTTTAAATTTTTTTTCGCAAACGGCGCATTGAACAAAAAGCAATTACTCGTTTAAACGGTTTTTTGTCACGAACTCGCGGGGATTTACAAATCGCATTACAGACCCTGTTTCATGCGTCCCCCTTCCTATCATTTGTTCATTTTCATTATAAAAGAAGGCACTTGAAAAGTAGGCATTAAATTTGAATGCCGAGCAGACTGTAGCATATGGCCATTCAGACGAACAAATGCTCCGTCCACCCAGCGCTTAACAGATTGACGGCAAATCCTTGTTTATTGTCAAAACATTTGAAATTAATGATAAAATTAATGCTCTTAACATTTAAATAATGTTCCTATTTTGATATCATCTGGTTCGGTGACATTATTATTAAGAGGATTTTTTTTAGATGCATGCGTTTTACCAAGCAAGGTACGTATCTTTATCTTGTATACCCTTCAAAGCCCGTGGTTCTGAGAGAGATTTTCCTCTGTTGAAACTTCAATGAATTGAACCGGTCAAACTTCATGCAGTTTAAAATCGCCGTCTTTTATTTGTAAGGAATCGATAACGAAATTAAATTTCAAATTCGGGGTGTAAATTGAATTATCCTGGAAACACCCCCTCCCCCAATGAAAGATGAAAAAGACTGAATCAATCTTTGTACAGTGCAGTATAATGTTTAAGCTTTGATATGTATTTCAGATTATATAATATTTTATTCCATATCCTTATTTCCTGATTAGCTCTTTTTTGGTTTGTTTTTGTATATGTTTGTGTGTTTTTCTTATTGATGAATTATTATTCAAGTTTTGTCTGAAGGAGGAAAATTTGTTCAGAAAGTTTCCCGAAGTTAGCGTTATGAGCTTAGATCATTTTGTTCCAGTGTTTGGACCGCCCACAGATGGATTGCTGGTAGATTTAACATTAGACGGGATCATCCAATAGATTTGGGCATTCATCGTTCTTAGGGATGCACATCTGCGCAGTGAAATGAACACTAGGACATAACTCTCGACATTCCGCCAATCAAAGTTTCCTTATACTTTACCACCACAAAGTGATCAATTAATTTGATAAAGCAACATTGCTGTTTCTAATCTAGATGATCTTTTCACTACATTGTGAAATATTCAGAGTTTAGATGATTGTGAACGTTTGTGATAAATAGAATTTGAATTCTGTATTTTTTCCCTTATCACAAAGAACCTTTGATTTTAGGGGGAAAATTAATTAATATGGATGAAAATTACATGGGAAGTAATATGCAAGATCGGCGGAATTTATGCGAGACCGAAAACACAAGGAAAGATGACTATCATTCAATGGGAAATAATTTTGGAAAGTTTTCCAACACTCCGAGTTTTACACAGCGAGAAAGTTCTGATTCGGATGAAGGTTCCGCAACTATAGACATAGAGGAGAATAGCGATGATAGTGAAAGGGGCTTCCCCTCTGTCAGCAGACGACAGTTTGACACGTCTGGAGAGTACCCAGAGGACGAATTATATCCCAAACACAAGCAAAGGCGAGGAAAAGTGGAGAAAACCGCACGATTAAACATAAATGCACGTGAAAGGCGACGAATGCATGATTTGAACGATGCATTGGACGAACTGAGGTCCGTGATTCCATACGCTCATAGTCCCTCTGTCAGAAAGTTGTCCAAAATCGCCACATTGTTGTTAGCCAAAAACTATATTTTGATGCAAGCCAACGCCCTGGAAGAAATGAGACGAATGGTGTCCTACATGAATTCTACATCCTCGCCCTCTCCAGCGTGTTTTGAACCTCTGGTGTCGTATAACCGCTTACAGAGGTTCCAGGGACTGGCCTTACCCCCGGGGCAGGGCAGGTCCAACTGTGCGTCAAGGTTTGATCCGCCGACAGATTCCTAGAATCGCCAAGATTTCAGTGACATAAAATTCAGTGAAAGGTGCGCGACAGAAATTAAAATATTGACAAAACCAAGTGGACACTTTTCAGATTATCACAAGATTCTGTTATAAATATTATGAGAATACATAAGTTTTATTGATTCCTGAAAATTATTAGTTATTGCATTTGATTTAATACTCAAACCTATTTTTTGTACTTTTTCCATCAGGTTGAAACAAAATTCGTTCAAAGTAAAACTGAAAGAGTAAAAGATAGTATTAAAGCAAAGAGGGTAGATCTGAATAAAGAGTCCCTCTCTCGAATTCTTTTTTTTTTTTTTTTGAGTCATTTTTCGATTTAATTGTGCAATTTTGAATTTTCAGATTATTTTATGTGATTTTTTTTTTTATTAATTGGTTTAACAAGACGAACGCAATATCTTATTTGAAATCGAAATTTCAATGAAATCATGATACGCTTTTACAATGATTTTCGTGTTTCGATTATTTTATTACAATGAAAAATGTAGGGACATCTGATAATGATAAAAATATGATTAACTGAAGAGGTACTTTTCATATTTCCTAACTTTTTATGACATTTTTCTGTACTGTTTGCACTTCGATGAAAATTAAAAATACGAAATTTTATAGAGAATTTTACAGAGAATTTTTTTTCTGATTTAAAGTAAAGAATACACATTGTCAAAACTATTGTGTGTCTTTTTAATAATACTAATATATAAATATATATATATATATATAAACATGTATATAGTTATACTCAAGTAAGTGAAATTTTGAAGAAATTCATGATACTATACATTATTTAATGTGTTCTGATTTTTTATTTCTTATTTTTATCAATTTGTAAAAATAATAGCAATATTAAAATGTTGAGCCTGAAATTTGCAAATTTTTTTATTGGCTCATTTTTTTTTCTCGTACGAAAGTCGAGGCGACGAAATATGAGAAACTTTCTTTCAGTTAGAAGTAGCAGCTCTGCTTTGCTGACACGTAACCAAACAATAGTAAAATTACATGTTCAATAAAAAAAAAAGAGATGTTATAAATTTTATGTTTTATAAATCTGTAGTGTCATCCTGTATGAGCAAATAATCCTTTACTTAAATCTAAATCTTTTAATTCAGCAGCCTAATTCAGAAGCCTAACATCACCAACCCACTTCCTCTCGTTTTTTAAAGATTTATATCTATCTCCATTTTAATATTTGAATATACTACAATCAAAAATAGTTTTCTTTTTTCATGTATAGTCAATGTATAAGCAGATAATCTTATTGATCTTTGATTTCAGAGTATTTCATTTTATTTTTGAACATTATTTTTGTGTATTTATTTGTTGAAAGGAGGGTTTTTTCCCCAAAGTTTTGAGATCTTGTGTCTGACCCTTTAATATACGGCCCATCATTCTTGCATTTAATTTTTGATAATTTTCTTACTATTTAACGGAATTTCAAGTTTAATATTGCATTTTCAACGGAAGCAGTAAAGAACAACTTTGCATTCATGATTTCTGCCGATGTTTAATGCATGTATAGAAAAAAACAACGACATTTACATACGAAAATTAACTTGCAATTTTTCATTTTAATTAAAAAAATATATTCAAAATGTTCTTATTATATTACTGGAGAAACAATATGAAACTTTAATTAGTATCATATTTTTCTAAAATTAAAAACATTGAAATTAACGTGCATGTATACTTGACATCTGTAAATTCATGAAATGTCTTGAGGGTTTTATTAGTGTATTCGTGCTGTAAATAGAACTAAATGCCTTTATGTCCTCGATCCACGAAATGTGAAATTTCAACAGTATACAGTAAGAAGCATGATAATAAAAAAGAAAAAGAGAAACAGAGTTGGAGGTTAAATATATGTTTCAATTCCGTGTTCTACGAAGAACTATTTTTATTAAATTATAATTTAAGGGGGCCGACTGGGGATTTATTGTGTGAAAACTACAATAGCGAAACTCTTCATTTTTATACCATATACAACTTACATTAACATCAGTGTACATGCCAAGTTTGGGGAAAATCTGCCGTCCAGGTATTTTTAACGGACCGTCTCAAAATACAGGTACATTTACTGTAGGATTATATATATACATGTACATGTAGGAAAATACCAATTTTTAGCACTTTAAAGCAAATTATACAAATACTACTATATATTTTTTGTTCAAATTATAATATTTGATGGCTAATACTATATTGTACATTATATGTAAGAAACACAAAATTCTACCGTCTTGTTACCAGAGGAAGCATCTCAAAATACCAAAAATTAACAATTTTCCTGTTTTTATAGAGTTCTACAAAATACATGTATGACAGGAGCAAAGGATTTATATGAAAACATAAAAAAATAATGGAGATATTCTCAAATTTTTATGTTTTAAATTTCAAGAGCGTATGTTTATTACTTTTTCTTTAATAACATTTTTATTACCCCTTTCTTTGAGAGCTTCAGTTTATCATAACGTCAAAAACACACTTCGACGACGTCAACATACCTATCAATTGCAAAATCGGTTAAAAAATCAATTAAATGAAATTATAATTACACTTTTAAACCTGTAATTTCTTAATTTTATCAATTAAGTTTAATTTTATCAAATATTGTGCAAGAAAACCACAGGAAAAAGTTGCATTAAAACATAAATACTTTTATGGATCATTTTACCCTATGATGCGTTTTTAAAATGTTTCACTGCGCAATATACAGAAAACCACAATAATTCAATTTTGCTCGGCTTATAAAAAAATTCCATCCCAAATATGAACAACAACAAAATGTTTTAATTTTATGGAAATTAATTACAAATTTGCAACAAAATTTTCCGATATATCTTTGAATATATCGCACAAGGTGCGCCGGGAGAGGGGGGGGGAGGTTAATGAACATTTTAAATAAAAGTAAAAAAATATTTCGGTTAGAAACAAGGGAAGCCTCCCCTTAGTATGTAACAAGTATATTTCTTCAGACCGCGAAAATGCCCCATTCAAATGTTTTACATCATGTAATGATGATGGGACATTTTCAAGCAATTCACCTTTTTATTCCAAACAAGCAAATCCGAAGAGTTATGTTCCCTTGCTTACGGTGTCTTAGTGGATGCGATGCAATTATTTATGGCATGTTGTCAAATAAGAACACCTTATCATATTTTATTCAAATGTAAAAATCAAAGTTAATTTCTTGAATAAGGTCAAACAGGTAGGTCAAGGTGAAGGGGTAAAAAAAATCATAGCATGATCGGAAACATCTGGTCACAGGCAATAAACATGTCAAATATGATTATATAGCATTTTCTCTTCTTAATAAAAAGTTATTAGGAAAAATAACTTTTTTGAAAAATCAGTAAAACTTCAAGAACAAGGTCACAGGGTAAAAAAGCATGGTATATTTAGAAAGGTTTTGTCACAAGTAATACACTTGTAAATGTATATGAAAGCCCCATCTTTCCTCCTTCAAAAGCTATGATATTTAAAGTTGCCCTGATGTTATCATTTTTAAGAGTGGGTCAAACTTCAAGGTCAAGAGTCAAAATTCAAAGTATTTTTGGAAAGGTCTTGTCACAAGTAATATACTAGCTGCAATAATGTAGCCCTCTCCGATTTTTAAATCTGATGTCTCTCCCTAAAAAAAGAGAGAGGGCTACATTATTGCAGCTAGTATTAATATACATGAGAAATATAAAAGCCCTGTCTATTCTCATTCAAAAGTTATGACCAAAGTCATAGTTTTTGTGACATTCGGAAAAACAGACAAATGAGATTTAATGTCTCATCGCCTTGTTTTGAACATATTTTATTGTATAATTCATACAAAGGGATTGGTAACAAGTTCTTACAACTTAGAAAAAACCTTTCCCTGTAAGTAATATATAGCGTACCTTTTAACGAGTGTATCTTCAGATATCAGACGAGGGGGATATACAATATACTAGTACTAGTATACTTTCGAGAAAGCGGGGACAATAACAGTGATGAGCAATTATTCCAATAATGAAACAAATGAGAGATTTGTACACATGAAAGATTTCATATACTTGCTGGCCAATGCTGAGTAAGTGGGTTTTTAAATAATTTGTCAATATTTGGAGACGTTTCTTTAAGATAGATTGAAGAACTCTGTATGTTGAAAACATTAGTTTATTGAGAGGGTTTTGAATTAAACTCATAAATTGATCCTGGCAGATAAGCGTTGCGCTCTGGAGATGCTTAGAGCGAATGATTAACTGAAGCGACCAATTTGTCTTCGTTTTCGTTGACGACACTTGATGGTGCGATATTATCCAGATGAGCTCCGAAAACTGGCTTGATGTATCAGATCAATTTGTCATATCTAGTTTGTTATAGCGGGAAAAGGACCGAGCGGGGTCACGGGATACTTCAGCGAGTAATGGGAAAACAAATCTTCACAAAATTGTTCTCTTGATTCATCTCCGTAAGAGTGTTCGATCTAACTTGTAGGAAGACTAAAATATTAAATATCATGCCATCTTTACAATAATATTCATGTTATAATTTGATATTCCTCAGATTTTTGTTATTACGCGTAACTCTCGCGTTTTAACGCGAAAGTTAGGCGTTTGTTCGCGAACGTTACGCGTTATATCGCTAATATCGTTATAACGCGAAAAAAAATTATAACCTACGAAAATGGGCCTTGGACAAGAGACAAATTTCCGAATTGAAATAGTAATCAAACATAATTTTAAAATATTTTTCGATCTAATAGATATTCTAATTTTTATGAGATTTAATTGGTACATAAGATACCTAGTATATCTAACAAATCTTATTATACCCCCCGCTTGAAAAGTGGGGGGGGGGGGTATTTGAATTGATACACGCTTTATCTCTTATCCGCAACTCCTCTTATACTACTGAGTGAAATTTAATGAAACTTTCACAGAATCTTTATTACATATTGCCATTGTGCACCTCCTATTTTACTTTTTTATTCGACATATTATATGTTTACCTATGACTCAAATAGAAGCTTCTAGATAACATTTGATGGGACGAGTCATTACCGTAAAACAATGTATAGCAAAACATGGACATTATTTTGTCACAGTACCTCTAGTTTTGTTATTCTTTTACAACTTCACAGTTGCCAATTC